CAACATCTTTAAAACAAAAAAGAAAGAGAAAAAAAAATACCTCCAATAAGATTAGCTCTAGTAGATAGGGATCTGAGGTCGGAGGCGATGAGCTGTAGATTCTAGAAGGAGAGAGAGAGAGAGAGAGAGAGATTTTGGAGATGGTGAAACTTACAAAAAAAGAAAAGAAAATATAGAATAATTTTTCACCTGATGTCAGGGAGCGAAGTGAGAAAAAAAAAGGCCGACATTAAGAAATGTGCAAATAGGACAAAAGAATCGGGAAGCCACGCTGGCGAGTAAATCCTGACCGATCATTTTAGTATAGGGATCTATTTAACCGTAGGATTTGTGAAACGGCTCCTGGTGGGGTTCCCGTCGACAGTCGGCACGCTGGATGTTACAGGGACCAAAAGCCCGACCACATTTTGTAACTCGATGAATGCTGTTGTTTTAAAGGGGACACGTGGGATGTTAGCTTCGTCGTGGGGTCTTTGTCGGAGCTGGCAGGAATAGAGGAGTGGGCCCACTGAACGCGGTGGATCCCGTGGTTCGAGAGCGTGGGCGGCGGTAGGTCCGACGGTAACTAGGAGCCCCATTTTAGTTTCAGTTTACAGCGCAAAATCGCCTTCAACACTCCGGCTGACTTTTTTTTTTTCATTTTGTCTCAAAATAAGCTATTTGAATTTTTATGGTCTGACTTTCTTGTATTGGAAAAAATAAAAAAAATTGTGCATGAAATGATGATAATGCCATTAAAAATAATTTATGTAGTTGCATCTGACTTATTTGGTGTTGGCTTGAGTGAGAAAAGTGGTTGATGATGTTAGGAGCTGTTAGAGCTGAGATTTGCTGATATAGAGGCTCCTTTGATTCTTTGATCGGTGGATTTGTCAATGAGAGTCCTTCCTGCAAATCACTAAACAAACTATAAGAACGCATTGAGGCTTGACACCCCAATGATCATCCGATGCTTAAGTTAGTTATTGTAGGAAGATGATACTAGAAATCTCTAATTCAAAATTAAGAACAAGACTTAAAGATTTTCTTACTACATCTACCTCTATTATGCTAATTTGGAGAGGTAGGTCGGAAACAGAGGGAAATCCATATGGCGTCATCCAGCTAGTCGACCCAAGTGAGCCATATGGAAGCTTCCTCTAACTAAATTGTCCAAATGTCCCTCCGGAATTGGCCGAGGTAGTTAAGATGACAGGAGGGGGCATCGGGAGAATAATCTTGATGATTGTAGTCGCACAATCATGTGAGTTATTTTAAATCATACCATGTCATGTCAAGGAAAAGTGTACTCATCTTGCCTTGGCAGGCTAAGTATTTGAGCAGAGATCGAACAATTTGGCTTAATTTTGGACAAGCAAAGGTCAGTCGACCTAAAAATAAGAGATGGACGACCATGCAACCCGAGACTATGTCTGCCCGTTCGACTTGTTTGCTCGAGTTGTTATGTCTTATAGCTGATTTCTTAGCAAGATATGTGATGTCGTTTTATTGGTAGTTTTTCCAAAGGTCGGTTTTGTGCCATAACATGTGTGGTTATTAGGAGACATGCCTATGAAATTTATTTGAACAAAAAAGATTAGTAGCCTACAACAGATTCTAAATACCTCATAAAATAGGATGATTTATATCAGGGATTCATTTGTATATTGTATTAATTCTATCAGTAATGTAAACCATACACTGCCATAGGGATGGTTCTGGTAGGAATCCTACTAGTCATTAGGATCCATGTAAATCAACACAACACAAAAAGAATACAATCATCAAGGGTATTGCACGTTGTTACCCTTCCGATGTTTAAGTCAATCTCTTGTAAAAAGAGAAATAGAGCAAAGATGTTTAGTTTTTTTTCTTGGCAAAACAAGACGAGCCTTTTTAGATTAAAATAAAAATAAAGTAGAAGACGTGACATCTAGTTATAAGAACCAAATGTTGTGCGTGGTGGATGCTTGAAACCACACGAACAAGAATGAGATAAATCACAACCAATAAGCCAAACACAATACCACAACAAGACAAACGAATTTTACGTGGTTCGGCAAGTTGCCTACGTCCACGGGTCAAGGAGGGGGGAGTTCTTACTATTAGAAATCAAGAGAATACAAATAGGGTTACAAATCTCACCAAATAAACCCTAAAACAAAGCCTCTAGATCTCTTACAATTCTCCCATAATTGGATGCATCAATCCTCTCTCAAAGATTGCTCAAAATATCCTTGCTTAACTTCTAATTAATTAGGATTAAGATTATATATCAACTCAGAACAAAACGGGTCAGAAAACCAAACTCAACTACAGACCTGACTTGCGATCGACCGCAGAACCACGTGCGATCTACCAGATCCAACGACGAGACTAAAAACCCCTACAGGGTTTGGCCGGTCGACCACAGAACCCATCACGGTCGACCTCAAAAAGTCCAGGTACTTTTCTCAGTCGTGTACACGTTTGCGGTCGACTGTCGCGTCATCCGCAGTCTACCGCGATACTGCCAGAATGTCTCATGCTATTTTTCATGTGGTCTTCGTCGATGTGCTCACTATTTCTTCAATTCTCCACCTCGACGAACGTTTCTACCAAAACTGAGCCGACACCAAAACATCCAAATGTCCCACTTGTTGCGTCCAGGACGAAGTGAAAACAACCTGCTTCAATGGACTCAATCCACAACAAGTCAGGAACATAAACGAGAGCTCAAACACTCTCCCCCCCATCAAAATCAACAAATCCAACCGGCTGCATCAAACAAGACTGCCTTGTATCCTCTTACCTAAGGAATCAAGCCGAATGTAGTTCACCCAAATGACCTCCAAAGGCTCTCAACACTGAAGAATATTCAATAGCTTCAAACAATGACCAAATTTTATACCTGAAACAACTTTGGTCAACATATCCGCAGGGTTGTCCTTCGTGTGGATCTTCTCTAATATGACATATCCATCATCCAATACGTCACGAACAAAATGGAATCTGACATTAATGTGCTTTGTGCATCGATGATAAACCTGGTTTTCGCCAAATAGATAGCTGGCATGCTATCACAATATACCCGAATGGTCATTTGTGTAATCCCCAAGTCCTCCAACAGTCCACGCAACCACAAAGCCTCCTTAACAGCTTCAGTCACCGTCATATACTTCGCCTCTGTAGTAGAGAGAGTCACTGTAGACTTAAGTGTACATCTCCAACATACCAGTATTCCTGCCAATGTAAACACATATCCTGAAGTAGACCGGCGCTTGTCAAGATCCCCCACATAGTCTGAATCCATGTAACCAATACAATCCTGCCCATTCTTCTCACTCTTCTGGAAAATCAATCTAACATCCACGGTGTCTTTAACATACCATAGAATCCACTTCACGGCCTCCCAATGAACCTTACTGGGGTCGTGCGTGTACCTCGATACCATACTCACGGCCTGTGATAAATCTAGCATCATACACACCATCACATACATCAAGCTACCCACAATACTGGCATATGGAGCATTCGACATGTAATCTTTATCCTCAATAGAAACATGTGACATATTAGCTAAAAGCTTGGAGTGGGGAGCCAATGGAGTGCTAACTGTTTTTGTATTGCTATAAAAGCTGAATTTCTTCAACATCTTCTACAAGTAACTCCTCTGTGTAAGCTTCAATCTTCCCTTCACCCTGTCTCTCTCGATCTCCATATATACCCAATATCTTCTTTACTTTTCCAAGATCCTTCATCTCGAACTCGGATGGCAGCTTCTCTTTCAACTTTCGAATAGCCAAAGAATTCTTGGAAGTAATAAGCATATCGTTAACATATAAAAGCAAATATATGTGCTCACCATCCTGTAGCTTGTGCATGTAAACACATGAGTCATATGGGTTCCTCGTGTACCCATGACCAATCATGAAGTTGTCAAATCTCTTGTACCACTATCGCGGCGATTGCTTCAATCCATAAAGAGACTTCCTCAGCTTGCACACCAAATCTTCTTTTCCTTCAGCTTTGAATACTAATGGTTGTGTCATGTAGTCTCCTCATCTAAATTTCTGTGTAGAAAGGATGTCTTAACATCCATCTAGACTAAATCCAAATACAGCTTTGCCACCAATGCTAATAAAATCCGAATCGACGAATGCTTCACAACTAGTGAAAATACCTCATAGTAATCAAAGCCCTCAAGCTATGCATATCCCTTGGCAACCAATCTGGCTTTGTACCTAATATCCCCAATAGAAGATCTCTCCTTCTTCGCATATACCCACTTACAACCAATAGCTTTCTTGCCTATTTATAAGACCTCCTTGCCCACGTGCAAGAGGTGCGGATTCTATTCCTCTTCTTGGAAATAGAACTGATCGGGGCTGCTGGTGAGATTGGTTGGGCCGAATTGCTACTGCCGACTAACCTTCCAGCTCCTAAAGGTTGAACCTTGGCTCACTTGCTAAAGGCTCCCTTGTTGAAAGAGACTCGTCTGAACTCTCAGGCTTGAGCTCTCAAGATCTTTGCAGACTCTTGCATAGTAGCCCTTTGCAGACTCATCTAAGCTCTCAGACTTGAGGTTCTTAGGCTGTAACGCCCCTGGGTTCACACAAGGCTGTAGTCCAAGGTGAAACCAAGAATGTCAAACCTGCCATGCACCACACCATGTAATAACATGTTTTACCATCACAATTACTATCTCTCTAGTAGAGTCAATAATATGTGTAGGTACAAAAGCAAGTAAAAGATAATACAAGAGATAACTGATGAAATGATGGTGATCAAATTAATATTTCATTATCCAACATGCAGAAATACAAAGTCAATGTCTGAAGTAAATAAACTAGAATTCTCAACAAGTCTCAAATACAAAATATCTGAATAAGATGAAATAAGGCACACGGCCTTTACAACTTCTAGAATAAAACCCTCAAATATCTAATCAAAAGTCTACAGTGGAGCTCAAAAGAAAAATAACTAAAGTAGACAGCTGAATCACTAAAGTGTATCGCCGTCAACCTGCGATTCTCCGGACACCTGGCTCGTTACATGAAAAGGGAGGGACAACGAGCGTCAAAGCGCTAGCGAGCAACATCACAACCAACCCCAAGGGAGAGGGCTCGTTGTATACATAAAATACAGTTAATACATATATATATATATATATATAATTATTTATCTTAACAATAAGAGAAAATTACAACATGAGCATAGATACGTCGAGCAAAA